AAAAAAATTGTATCTGGGACACAGAAGAATTTGAATAAATAAAAAAAATGTATAAGAGGCCCATTTTATGGAGGGATGAGCAAATCATTTTTACCTTTAACTGCAATTGCGTAAAAAATATTTTTAACACTCAGAATCCTTTATTAATCTAACGGGCTGATAAATATTATAAATAGTGTGAAAATGGCATATTAACTTTTAGATAACGGCTTTTAAGTCACCATTTTGTTTTGCAAACACATCTTTAATATTTGATTTTTCAACAAACCCTCTTCACAGAAGTGTCCCTTAAATCCAACAACACAACTGACACAAGCTCCATTGACTGGATTACACGTAGAGTTGAAGCATTTAGGTGAGCAGTTTTTCTTACAATTGTATCCAAAGAGGCCTTGTTGACATTCTATTAGATTTTTTTTAAATTTAAAAATATATTATTTTAAAATATATAAATGTAAGTCAATGTATAATATGTTGTCAATACAGGTTTTAAACTATTAACATTAAGATGATTCAACATATTATTGAGATGTCTTGTGACTAATAAATGATAATACAAAAACAATAATACCTTTGTCACAAAAATGTCCTAAAAATCCATCTCTGCACCTGATACATATTCCACTTGCAGGATCACATGAGTTGTGGTCGCAGTTTTTAGAACATTTCATGGAACAGTTGTGTCCATAATATCCACTGGGACAAACTACCAAAATGACGAAATTTTAAAAAACAACTCAATTTTAAACTTTTAGTTTCCGTGAAGCCAAAAAAAAAAAAAAAATTGTAAATCAACTAATAAACATATTTTTGTAACAAAAAAGTTTTTTTATATTAACACAGTACCTTTATCACACCTTTCTCCAAAGTAGCCATCTTTACAATTCTTACATAACCCATTGATTGGATCACATTTCTTGTTTCTACAGTTATCTGGGCATGTCTGTGAACAGTTGTATCCAAACCAACCAGAGTCACATGCTGTTGACAGACATTTGACTAGTAGTCGTTTCTTATTTCTTTAAATAAATTATCTGTTTTAAATGTATGGCTTGAAATTAGAATATAAACTTGATAACTTCAGCTTACTTTTGTTGCAGAAATCGCCTTTAGAACCTGGAACACAACTGGAACAGAATCCATTTGTAACATTGCACAGTGAAAGTGTACAATTTTCAGAGCATTTGGAGTCGCAATTGTATCCATATGTTCCTGGACTGCATTCTTGTATAAAAAAAAGTTATTATTTTTTCGTTTTTTTCATTTGCGTTTATATTTGCGTTTAAATTTACGTTTTCTTTTATGTTTGCATTTATGTTTTCGTGCGCGTTCATGTATATGTTTGCGTATTCGTTTGCGTTTAAGTGTGTCTTTCTGTTGGAATTTATGTGAGTTTAAGTTTGTGTATATGTTTCTATTTGCGTTTCCTTTTGCGCTTATGTTTGCGTTTATATTCATGTTATGTTTCCATTTTAATTTGCGTATTTATTTGCATTTACGTTCGCATTTATGTGTTTATTTCCATTCTTTCTCAAACGTCCATGATTATATATAGAGACCTTACAGGATAAATTGTATATATATATTCCGCAAAACCGTGGGAGCGCATGGGATGTCAAGGCCATCGACAGATAAGTTTATCTCAAATGCCAGCGCAGGGCCTGGATGATAGTTCTAATACGGATAGTCTACGCTGTAAAAATGAAATGAACTGCGTATATAATGCTTTTGGCGGACTAGGGGAATCATTGTTGACAAGCATATAATAAATGAAAGTCCACTCTCTCGCCATTGTGACATTTTAAAAAATATTTTAATAATTAAACATAAATTTAATTTGATTTTTAAAAAAATCAATATTTATTAATTCTAAAAACATAGGTCATCACTATGCACTGATACTATAGTTTATTAGTATCGTAAGTTAGTAATTAATGCAAAGAGTATTAGCTTACATTTATTTACCTGCTTTTTCTCTTTTGAAATAATTTAATTTTAACAAAATTTTATCACCTTAATTTTATAAAAAAACTAGTTGTTATCGACTACGCTTTGCTCCAACCATTTATAGCCATTACTTAATTTAAATGTTAATACATATTTGTTGCTTTGTTTACAAAATGTTTTAAGAAAAATAAACATCATTTCATTATGCTATGCTCAAAGAACTGCAACACGTACACATTGACAGGATTCTAAAAAATATCTTTCACAGTACCTGCCATACGGGATAAAAAAGATCGTTACACAAATTAAATATTTCTCAGAGTCAAATAGTTAAACAGAGAAACGCTAGTTACATACTTTCCATCTCAAGGTTATTCGCCCCTAGATCATTAATTTCCTCACCACCTCGAGTAATTACCCCACTACTGAAAACATATTATAATAATATCTATACCTTTCCTTCCCCATAGCCATCTGCCAATCACTAGCCATGTCGCTAACCAAAAAATTATGCTGATCCTTAACTTGTATTCAGTCCCTAATTTTTTATTACATACTATCCTGAATATCACCAATATCAGTATAATTATTCGTGTCCTTACGTTTATGTTTACGGTAGCCATTACCGTTACGATTTACTCTTACTCTGACCTTTACCGGTACCGTTGACGATGGGTTGCTGTTGCCTTAACCAATGGGTAATTATCAGATGGCAAGAAATGTTCATCTGCAGTTTGAGAGACTGATATTACAATGTTATGACCTAATTTATTTTTCAATAAAAAAGAACTGCAACATATTTGTTATCAAAATTTTAGATCGCAGGAGTGTAGTGAGTTAAAACAATAGAAAAAGCAACACTTGATTTCACACGTTTTACAAAAAAGAACAAATATAAATGATAGCATCATACATATATACAAAAAATTTCTTACTTTCTTGACAGAAGTCTCCCTTATATCCTGGTTTACAACTGTGACAAACTCCATTTGTAGCATTACAAGTTGAATTAATACATGTGTCCGAACAGTCTTTAATACATTTATATCCATATTTTCTTGTTAGACATTCTAAAATTAATTTTAAATAAACGTATTTCAATCTACCAGATTAGTACATGCTACTCACAAAGGTTTTAAAATATAAATACACTTTTAAATTTTATAATGTATACAGACTAGTACATTTCATTGTGTGTAAATTTAAATATTTTAAAATTCTGGCGTCTATTTGATCATATTTAAATTTATTCCTACCTTTATTACAATTGTTTCCAAACCATCCATCCTTACATTTGTCACATTTGCCACTGACATGATGACATTTACCCCCCTTACAATTTTTCGAACACGATTGTGAGCAATTAGTCCCGTAAAACCCAGTGGAACAATCTGAAAACAAAGCAAAACAAATTAGTATAAATCTATTTTAAATATTATTGTCTTTAAAAATAAAGTGATTAAAAGCAGTAGGGTATTATTGTCGTAGTGTCATTAAAGATATTAAATTGTTGAAATACATTAAGCCTACAAGAAAAGTGTGCTAGTGAACTAGTGTTGTTTTTATTATATAAGTAATAAACTAATTATTTTTTTCAACTTACTTTCACGACAGTTGTCACCCTTATAACCAGGCATACAGCTATGGCAAATTCCACTTACAGCATCACAAGTTGCATTAGTACAGGTCTTTGAACAGTTTCTCATACAATTACAACCAAATTTACCTTTTGAGCATGCTGAAAACAATTTAAATATTTTGAGAGCTGAATTATCTGTTTTTTAAAATAACCAATTTTTCACATCTAACAAGGATGTATCACCAGTATTAGGTAATGTAAAATTTAACGAAAACACCAAAGTACTTGTGTTGCAAAATTCTCCTTTCCAACCATCTCTACATGAAGAACAATGGCCACTGAATGGATCACATGATGCACCAGCACAATTTTTGGAACAGGATAGTGAACAGTTTTCCCCATATTGGCCTTGTAAACATACTTGAAATAAAGATAAAAGAAATATTAATTAGTAGTCAATGGTTATATGTATACCATTTCCTAATAACGGAAGTAAGACTTTTTAAAAAATCCTTGGTCGTAGTCTTTTTATATAATTATCCATAAATATGGGTCTATTTTAGTATTTAAATTAAAATATTGTTATCTGCTTACTATAAATAAGATTCACCATGTTACACTGCTTTTTTTTCATCTAACTTCGAGTATAACACTATATACCATATTGTTAGCTTAAGACTTTATTATTCGTGCATATAGTACAGCCCAAACAACACGTTTTCCATCCAGACTCATTCATAGAAAACTTCCTGACCTAAGCAACGTTCTGCACAGTAAGCAGAGATTTGACATTCAAGGGACATCACAATGTTATATGTAATACAAGGGAAGAACCAGTAACTAACAGGACATAAAATAATACAGCTAGTGGACTTTTAAACAAAATTACACTATTTCACGCATTGCAAAATTATGGCCTAATTATACTTTTAAAATGTTTATTTTATGATAAAAGTAAATAAATAAATATGAGTTATTGATTGGCATACTTTTGGTAAAAAATGCATTACTCTAAACAAATTATGCCATTAACTATAAATCAAAATAGAAATTTATTACACTAAATATATATATATATCTACCTTTATCACAATTATTTCCACGGAAGCCATCTTTACAAATTTCACATGTCCCATAAACATGGTCACACACATTGTCTTTACAGTTGTCTGGGCATGGCATTAAACAATTGAATCCAAACATGCCTGGCTCACAACCTGTTACAAGTGACAAGTTTATCAATATATTATCTTAAAAAGTGGTTGGCTATAACTAGCAAACATGTGCGCAATGGTTCTTACATGTGAAAAATGTCATAACATCTAGTGAACTATTAAAGAAGTTATGGGTTATTCATAAAGTAGTGAATTTTTCTACCATGTAACTGAGTTCATAGATCTATCAACATTCCATAATCACATACATCTTAAATTTTAAATCTTAAATATTATTTTCAACATTTTAAATGTCTCACTTTGATTACAGAATTGTCCTTGATACCCTGGCTGACAACTCAAACATACTCCATCTGTAGGGTTACACAGGCAGTGTGCACAGTTATTAGAACATTGGTGAGTGCAGTTGTCTCCATATCTACCAGGACTACAAGCTAGAGAAACAAAAGCAAACATTATCTTTTATTTAATAGTAAATATAAATTTTAGAAGTTATGTATGGCCTGTGATTTTTTTAACAAACAAAATTACATAATCTTACTTTCTTGACAGTATTCTCCCATATATCCTGGTCGACAGCTGTGACAAACTCCATTTACAGCATCACATTTTTCATTAGCACAGGAATCTGAACAGTTTTTTGTGCAGTTGTGTCCAAACTTTCCAAGTGGACATTCTAACAAAAGATGCATTTATTATTTACAGCTGTATTCGTAATATAATTTACAATATTCAATTAAAAAACTGAATTTAAATAAGATTATTCTCTGAATAATAATAAACCTGTTCCAAAGTAAATAATAACACTACATTCAGTAAAAAATTGAATATATTAAAGCTTTAAAAAAATAAAGAAAACACAAAGTAACATTAAAACATGTTACTCTACTAGCATATTCTAACAACACAAAGATTCTCATGCAACTTTATTGGTTTACCTTCTTGACAAAATGTGCCTGTCTTTCCATTTTTACACATCAAGCAATGACCACTGACTGGTTCACATGTATTGTGTTCACATCCAAATGAACAAGAACTTGAACAGTTTTGTCCATAATAACCAGTAGAACAAACTGTTGATGAAAAATGTAGTCAAATATTTAACGGGGATTTTGTACTAAGAGCACGTGTCTTACTAAAGGTGTCAGTATCCTAGACACACAGTTTTTGATTCGTTAATTTGAAAAAAAAAAAAACAACAACTAAATAAGTGCTTATCTAATAGATCAACTCTACTACGTTGGTGACTAAACTAATTCTGTATATACTAATAAAAAAAAACAACTATGTTTAATGTTTTAATGCTCTAATTGTTAACAATTAGGCCTATATTTTGAACCACAAACTATGTTAAAAAACCAAACCTGCATCAAATCAGTATATTATATTATTTTAAACATTTAGAAAAAAATAATTACAGTTCATTGGGTAAGAAAACTTTAGTATTTAAAATGGAAATGATTATTTGAAAAAGCAGTAACAAGGTTTTTAAAAAAATGAAATAATGCAATTAAAATTTGGGGGAAAATAATTTTGTCCAAAATAAATGCAATACCTTTATCACACCGATCTCCCATATACCCATTTTTACAACTTTGACACAATCCACTAATTGGATCACATTGATTGTTTTTACAGTTGTCTGGGCATGTCTGTGAACAGTTGAATCCAAACCATCCAGTGTTGCATGCTGTTGACAAAAACTTTAATAGTATTCATGTCATGATTTTGAAATAAGTAGTTTTGTTATGCTGAGGACATTAATTTATAATACAAACTTAATATTTTAGGCCTACTTTTATTGCAGAAATCTCCTATAGAACCTGGAACACAACTGTAACAGAATCCATTTGTGGAATTGCACAGTGAAAGTGTACAATTTTCAGAGCATTTGGAGTCACATTTGTATTCATAAGTTCCTTGCCTGCATTCTTGTAAAAAATGTTTTTATTAGTCAATTACTTTTACTTAACAATAATTAAACAGTTTGAAAAATGAATTTCAGAAAAAGATTGATCTTTTTTTTTTACAATTTTATGTTAAGGCAGTCTGCTTCATTTTAAATTATAACTGTGAAATTAAAAAAAATAATTATATACTTAACATTAACCTTCATCTGTATTTAAATATAAATATATAAATTTCATTAGTAATTTAAATAGAAAAAATATCTTTTTTTGTTTTTTACCATTGAAATATATAACAGTTTTAAACTAACTTTCTTCACATTGTTCTCCCCTGAATCCAACAACACAACTGGCACAAGCTCCACTGACTAGATCACATGTAGAGTTGAAGCAATTAGATGAGCAGTTTTGTGTACAATTATATCCATAGTAGCCTTGTGGACATTCTGTAAGATATTTATTTTAATTTTAAAATTTGTTATTTTTTTAATATTATGTAAAAGTCATTTTAAAGAGATATAAAATCACAATACATATTTAGAAATCATGTGTTTTTATATGCTTTAAAATATTATTTGGACTTCATGTGGCTAATATATGTTAAAGGTAAAGCAGTAATACCTTGATCACAAGATTGTCCTAAAAATCCATCTTTGCACCTGATGCATTGACCAGTGAAAGGATCACATGCATTTTTGTCACATTTATCAGAACATGGCTTTGAACAGTTTAGACCGTAATATCCACTAGAACAAACTGCCCAAAGGAAATCAGAGAAAATTGTTGAATTTTATTTAGACTTTTAGTTTACCTGTATCAAACATTTTAAAATGTAAAGTTAGTTAATTTAATATTTGGGAAAAAAATTATATAAAACAAAATTCTTTTTATTATTTAACGAATAGCACAGTACCTTTATCACACTTATTTCCAAGATAGCCATCATTACAGTTCTGACAAAACCCATTTATTGGATCACATTGATTGTTTTTACAGTTGTCTGGGCATGTCTGAGAACAGTTGTATCCAAACCATCCATTGTCACATGCTGTTCAAAGAAATATTACAATATAACATTTAATTTTTTTTCTAATTGAACATCATATTAATAGTTTGATAACTTATAAAGTTACTTTTATTGCAGAAATGTTCCTTTCAACCAGGGACACATTTTTAATGTGCTTCAAATGTAATTTAATTTGCATTTGACTAATACATGTAAATAGTAAAGCAGTATTACCTTGGTCACAAAATTGTCCTAAAAATCCATCTTTGCACCTGATACATCGACCAGTGAAAGGGTCACATGAATTGTGTTCACATTTATCAGAACATTTCATGGAACAGTTTTGCCCATAATATCCACTTGAACAAACTGATAAAATAGAATGAGAGAAAGTTATTATATTTTAAACAGTTAGTTTCCATGTACAAAGCATTTTAAAATATAATATTACTTTTTAATTGAGAATAAAATATTAAATCATAAGTTTTAACCCAAAAATAAATATTTTATGATTTAAAAAATATACCTTTATCACACCTGTCTCCAACATAGCCATCACTACAATTCTGACAAAACCCATTTATTGGATCACATTGTTTGTTTCTACAATTGTCTGGGCAGGTCTGTGAACAGTTGAATCCAAACCATCCAGTGTCGCATGCTGTTGACAAAACAATTACCTGTTATCTAATCTTTACTTAAAATATAGTTTTGTGTTTTAAAACAAGTTATTTTGAATTCATGTGATTAACATATGATACCGGTTAAGGAATAATAATTTTAAGGTACCACTAGCTTCTATGTACCATTGAAGATAGCACTAGCAGTGTTGCATTTATAAATAAACTTTAAGTTAAAAAATAATTATGAAGACAAAAACTTTTATATTTGTGTGAAAATATATATTTTATGTTGTAGTCCACTCAGATGTTATATAAATGCACAATGTAAGTTCTAAGAAAGGGATAGAGAACATTACATAAATTCGATAGTGAATTATATCAGTCAGGTTTGTATATTAAACTCGTATGAACCCTAGAGACTGGCTCACCTCACTCCTGGGGTTCGATAGAGCCATTGTAACGAACCACAGGTTAGATTGATGTTCATGATTAAACTTAAAAGAAAGTTATCTTTAAAAAAAAAACTTTAAAAAAAACTAATTTACTTTGATTGCAGAATTTTCCTCTATAACCTGGCACACAGCTGTAACAAATTCCATTGGTAGTGTTACACATTGAATGCACACAATTTACAGGACATTCATAAACATTTTCTTTCTTTATACCTGGGTATATTTGAAAAATATGAAAAGAACATATATATTGTGTAATTATATCTACTGTCTACTACACTTTAATTGTAATTAATCTATATTCCATTTTCTGAGGCAAACGTCTTTTATAATATTGTTTTACATTCTCTTCTTTTTAAGAACATGAAGTTGATGAAGTTTTTCCTGCTATAGTTCTGCTAATTTTAATAAGCACAAAACAGAGACATGTTATTTTAGATAACATGTTGAAACTTTTAAAATGAAATTTCAATTCGTGTTTACTTACTTTCATTACAAAACTTCCCTTGAAAATTTGCAATACAACCAAAGCAATATCCATTTATAGAATCGCAAATTGAAAATAGACAATTTTTCGGACAACCAGAAGAACACTCATATCCAAAAGTACCTCGCCTACATTCTGACAAAAGACACATAGAAATGTTTAATAAATCATTTTAGCTATAGCGAAAAGATAACTGAATGTGCTACTACTTTTTCTAACTTGACATACTTTTCGATAAGATAGTGAATAAACTTTCCCACAATACCACTACAGAAATAAAGATATTTATTAAGAATGGAAAAAAAACAGCTAGGACAGTTTTGAGAAAATAAAAACTGAACCTTAAAATACAAAGAGATAAACTTTAAAATGAAAAGATACAAAATATTATTAATTATAGTCAAATCATAGAACTACTAAGCGCATTGATAGTATTCTTACACCAAGTAAAAAAATAACCTCACCGTGTTCACAAAGATTACCAGTGTGCCCTATAGCACAACTGTCACAATAACCAGTTTCCCCATCACACTTATCTTCTGCACAACCTTCTGGGCATTTACGTGAACAATTATAACCAAACCATCCTACACTGCAGGCTGGAGTAAAACAAATCAATAAAATGGGTTGGTTTAAAAATTTGGTTTGTTTTTATGTTACATTTAAAAATGGGAAAATAAAAACTCAATGAACCAACATTATCTGCAGATTTAGTTTTCGCCCACAAATGACGTCTCGTTTTTTTAGCCCCATGTTTCACAACCTCCCCCAAATGACCAATCCCCCCTCTATAAAATTATGTCAGACTATAGGGCCTACCTCTCTACCATAGTTTGAAACTTCTCTTATGTTTTAAATTTATTGTGATTTTCATCCATTTAATTGCATTTGTTGACACATCAGTAAAATACGAGTGCCGTTAAAGGAGGGGGAAAATCTATTTGTTTTAAGCTGAAATACGAGCTTCTTGACTTTGAGCAACATTTACCATCCATGCATTTAGCAATCTGAATCAAATACTATCTAATTCGTGCATGAATATCGTGTCCACTCTGGTCCTTTGCCAGAGCAGTTTCAAGTAATAACCACCGTTAGATGTGACAATATTTCTGCAAATGTGTATCCCGCGAATTGAAAATTCTTCTTCTCTAACTATGTGTCTATCTTAAACTTCTTTCATCGAAATAATGGCAGAAGTGGTTATAGGGTAAATCAATCCAGCAACCTCATTTGTAGGTGGCGCCATCTTCCTTTCAACCCTGTTAAACCAACTTCCACCAACTTTATTATCAAAAAAAAAATAAATCATGACATATGTTACTGAGATGTGTACCTAAAATTTTTCTCTGAGCTACCGTCATATGTCAACACTTATATTGGGTTAATCCGATTCACACAACTGTTTTTTATACCATCAAATTCATGTATAGTAATTTCTCAAAATCAAGTCCATGACTAAATGGTGTGCATGAAGTATGCATACAAGAGCTGATTGATATGTATTTTGGGCCGGAGCTAAATACAATGCGTAGACATAAACATTTAAAAGGATGTGCATAAATAACATGTTATTTTTTTCTCTTTATTTTTATTGTGATGATGGAAAGGATTTACTTCAACAAGTAATACGTGTCAACCTGCTATGCAAAATGTAGGCCCTTAACTGGATTTGCTTTCATATCAAGGACAAACTACTTGGCAGCATTAAATCATAGTTAAGCATAACGTTTTGAAAAAAAAAGGTTTTGTAACGAATACAGTAAGATAAGTTGTTTTTTCATTAGTTTTTCTCTATAGCTAGCAAGTAAACATACTAAATTTAGAAAACATTGATGAATTTAAAAAAAATACGTGGGAAAATTTAATAAATCATACATTTTAACATAACTTTTTATGTGGTAAGCATAGGCCTTTACAATTATTGATAGAAGGTCTAATACAAGGCTGAAGATACTGTAATGAAAATATTACTTGTGTTTAAAGTATTGACTTTTTCTACCCTGTAACATAATCAATAGCTCAGTGAGTTCTTATTTTAGATAATAGATCTATAACATTCAACAATTATATCTAAAATTTAAATTCTTAATTATATTATTTTATAAATTTTAATGGCTCACTTTGATTACAAAATTGTCCTTGATACCCTGGCTGACAACTCAAACATACTCCATCTGTATGGTTACACAGGGAGTGTGCACAGTTTTTAGAACATAGGTGCATGCAGTTGACTCCATATCTACCAGGGCTACATCCTAGATAAGCATAAAAAATTACTTTTTATTTAGTAATAAATATAGCTTTGAGAAGATAAATAAATAGGCATGTAGGGCTTCTGAGGTTTTAACACAACAGTATATTATCTTACTTTCTTGACAGTAGTCTCCCATATATCCTGGTCGACAGCTGTGACAAACTCCATTTACAGCATCACACTTTTTATTAGCACAGGCATCTGAACAGGTTTTTGTGCAGTTGGGTCCAAACCTTCCAAGTGGACATTCTAACAAAAGATGAATTTATTATTTACAGCTATATTATTAATATAATTTACAATATTCAATTTAAAAAAAAACTGAATTTAAATAAGATTATTCTCTGAATAATAATAAACCTGTTCCAAAGTAAATAATAACACTACTTCCATCCAAAATAAATATATTAATGCTTTTAAAAATAATAGTTTAAAAAAAAAACCCACAAAGTAACATTAAAACATGTTACTCTACTTGCATATCTAACAATTATTATGCAACATTATTGGTTTACCTTCTTGACAAAATGTGCCTGTCCTTCCATTTTTACACATTAAGCAATGGCCACTGACTGGTTCACATGTATTGTGTTCACATCCCAATGAACAAGAACTTGAACAGTTGTGTCCATAATAACCAGTAGAACAAACTGTTGATTAAAATATATTCAAATATTCGTTAATTTGAAAAAAACTAAATAATTGCTTATCTAATAGATGAACTCTACTATGTTGCTGACTAAATTAAGTCTGCTTCCATTAATTAGGAACAAAACCGATGTTGTTATGTTTTAACGCTCTAATTGTTCACAATAAAATTAGATTTTGAACGACAAACTACAATAAAAAAATAATAAAATTTAACTTGTACTAATTCAGTATTATTTTACAATAACATAACATTTTAAAAAAATATTTACAATGCATTTAGCCAGATACTATTTGTCTTTACAAAGGAAATTATTATTTGGAATAGCTGTAACAAGGTTAAGGAAAAAAAAAATTGGGAGAAAAATTGATTTTGTTCAAAATGAAAGCAATACCTTTGTCGCACCAATCTCCCGTATACCCATCTTTACAATTTTGACACAATCCACTAATTGGATTACATTGTTTGTTTTTGCAATTGTCTGGGCATGTCAGTGAACAGTTGTTTCCAAACCAGCCAGTGTCACATGCTGTTGACAGAAATATTACAATATAATAATTGATTTATTTGACATTTAACATCATATTAATAGTTTGATAACTTGCAAACTTACTTTTATTGCAGAAGTGTCCTTTATAACCAGGGACACAACTGAAACAGGATCCGTTTGTGACATTGCATAATGAAAGTGTGCAATTCTCAGAACATTTGAAATCACATGTGTCTCCATATTAAGTTTCAATACATATTAAAATAATTGTTATCAATATGTTTTAACATATTATTTAGATTCCTAGTGGCTAATACATGATTATAGTTAAGAAGTAATACCTTGGTCACAAAATTGTCCTAAAAATCCATCTTTGCACCTTATACATTGACCAGTGAAAGGATCACATGAATTTTGGTCACATTTATCAGAACATGGCATTGAACAGTTTTGTCCATAATATCCACAGGAACAAACTGTAAAAATAGAATGAGAAAAAGTTATTATATTTTAAATACTTATTTTCCATGTACCAAGCATTTTAAATATATACATAGCATTAACCCTCATCTGTATTTTAATATAAATATATTGAATTCATTTGTAAATTATATAGAAAAAAATTACTTTTTTGTATTTTGCAATTTAAATATGTAACAGTTTTCAACTAACTTTCTTCACATTGTTTTCCCCTGAATCCAACAACACAACTGACACAATCTCCACTGACAAGATCACAAGTAGAGTTGAAGCAATTAGATGAGCAGTTTTTTGTACAGTTATATCCATAGTGGCCTTGTGGACATTCTTTAAGACATTTTTATTTTAAAAAGGTGTTCATATTTTTAATATTCTGTAAAAGTCATTTTAAAGAGATATAATTTTGCAATACTTGTTTTAAATCGTGTGTTTTTATATGCTTTAAAATATCATTTAGACTTCATGTGGCTAATATATTTTAACAGTAAAACAATAATACCTTGATCACAAAATTGTCCTAAGAATCCATCTTTGCACCTGATACAATAACCAGTGAAAGGATCACATGAATTTTGTTCACATTTATCAGAACATTGTGTGGAACAGTTTTGTCCATAATATCCACTAGAACAAACTGTCAAAGCAGTATGGGAGAAAGTTATTATATTTTAAACACTTAGTTTACATATAATAAACATTTTAAAATAAAATAATAGTTAAATTCGTAATTGGTAATAAAATATTAAAACATAACTTTAAACAGAAATAAATATTTCCAGATAAAAAATACCTTTATCACACCTGTCTCCAACATAGCCATCAATACAATTCTGACAAAGCCCATTTATTGGATCACATTGTTTGTTTCTACAATTGTCTGGGCATTGCAGTGAACAGTTGTATCCAAACCATCCAGTGTTACATGCTGTTGACAGAAATATTACAATATAATCAATGATTTAATTGCAATTTTAAAAATTTCTAAACAATTTAATAGGTTGAACACTTGCAAACTTACTTTTATTGCAGAAATCTCCTTTATAACCAGGGACACAACTGAAACAGGATCCGTTTGTGACATTGCATAATGAAAGTGTGCAATTCTCAGAACATTTGAAATCACATGTGTCTCCATATGTTCCTGGACCACATTCTTGGAAAACAGTGTTATATTAAATAAAATTATTAGTTTTAATACTAAATTTTATAAATACATTAAAAACAATTTGTAATACTGATTTTCCAGTGAGATTGCATTTGCAACTTTGCTGGGTGTTTTGTACGTTTTGTTTTGGATGTTTTGTTTTTTTGGTGTTTGGTTTGATGTTTTGTTTGTTTGACATGTGTGTTTGGTGGCAGAACGGATGTTACAAAGCTTTTCGATTGCCGTGGGGGATGAGGAGCGTTGTCTGTTGTTCAGAAACCAGGATTCATATACTATGCTTAATAATAAATGTGTTTAATGTTAGTTATGACATTTAAAAAATAAATTACCTTTTATTATTGATTCTTCTGACAGTTGTACAGAACGATTTTCTGTTTGGGATGATATTAATATTCGAGTTGCGATATCTTGACCTGAGATTTTGTTGTCTTCTAAACGTTTCTGTTCATCTTTCGTTTCATATATCTGTATGTTTACTGGGTCTACAAGTGCTGCGTTTTTAGAAGTATAAACACATGTCGGTATTTTTGGAGTCCACATAGTTTAATGGCCTGGTAAATAAAGTCTGATATACATTATAATGCCATGTTTTTGTAATATATACTTTGACTGTGATACCTTAAAAGAAATTCTTAATAATAGACAACATTTTAATGTATCATTTAAATGTATCAGGACATTTTTTTGGCAATTCTCTCTATACATCGATAGACTGCATTCTTGCAAAATAAAAATAAGAAATTTAGTTTTTTGCTTCCTGAATTGATTAACCAAGATCCATTATTATTTTATATTTTTCAAAATTATTTGATAGGCAAGGAAAACGGATACCTTAAATCGGTTAAATTAAGCTATTGAAATGCATTAAAAATTTGTCACCTGATGATAATGTAGTGGTGCCAGTTATTCCAGTCGATCCAGAAAATATAAGGCCTTTTCTTTCTTTTTGACGTGAAATGCAAAATAATTATAAAACAACAAAACCCCAAAATTTTATGTTTATTTTTTTTATTTAAAATATGTGACACCTAAATTGTAAAGAATGGAAACATGTTAATATACATCTGAAAACGTTAATTTCTGTGCTTATGGATGGCATAGGTATGTTTTAAAATTATTTTTCATCAATGATGCGTAGAAACAGCACTTTACATAAAATAAGAATAAGCAAATAAACGGTTAAAATAATTAAGTTATTAACTTTTACATTTTGCTTATCCACATATAAATTCTATTCTTCTATTTGTATAAACTGTACAGTTGTCACAAAAACAAAAAGCATTAGTTTTGCACTCACCATATGGACACAATCCAGTGACAGAAAAGCAAGTTTCAGTTGTGTCAACACAGTTACATTTTAAATTACATTCTTTCCCATAAAATCCAGGTTGGCAAGCAGATTCTTCAATGAAATTTTTTAACTTTTTTATGAGGTAAATAATTTTGTTTTGTATCAAACATTTTATAATTCTAAAAAAAAATTACTTTGTTTTACTCTTATTTTTAACAGCCCCTGTTACTGTTTACTTTTAATATTTCTGCTTTGTTTAATTTCACAACTATCTCGGAATAAAATATAGGCCGATGTATTAGGCATAATTAGAACCATAATTTTCTTTACTTGTGAATATATCTTATTTAAATTAAATCGTATTTATAGTTATTGAGCACCAGACGAATTATATGCCAAACTCACCACCATAGACCTGTAACTCACACAAAGAGAGGAACAACCCAGAGCTGTGATCTGTAGCTGTAATGGAGACCATGGAGATTTGCTTCCGGTTTTTTGTTGCTAGAACTGTGTACATGTTTTGTGGATAAGGCAATCCGTCAGTATAATCGATATCAACCTCATCGCCTTCAGTAACGCTCTTAAGATGGAATCCTTTAAGTCTTTGCTGGCAACAATCAGCTTCAGGAGAATAATCATAAAGTAAAAAAATGACATCGTTAATATGTTTGGATAAATTTCTTGCACTGAACTGAAAAATAAACGATAAGCATTTCAAAGTCATTTAAATTGAAAATAACGATCTTCAAGCAAGTAAAAAAATACACTGAAATAAAATAAAATAAAACGTTCAGGTATATTAAGCAAAAGGCTAACCACACTATAATTTCAAATGCATAATTCTGAGAAATACGTCATCTCTACTTCATCTGTTTTATGTATGATGATTTCTTAAAAATGTACTTTAAATATCCTTAAATAATATCTCCTTATTAATTTACAAAAAAAACCAAATAATATAAGATTTCATTTTAACAGCTATTTTTTTTACTGAAATTCTAATTTTAAGTTATAATATAACCATGAAGACACCATAGTGTACTATTTATAAAACGGTTTTACATACCTCTGTTATGTATAACGAATCTGTTTATAACAACAGGTAAGGAAAACCAGATTTCTAGCGTTGGTTCTGTGTCCCCCTCCAATGTATGGAAACACGATCCATGATGGTAGTTACTGTCCATATTACCGTCAACGGCATGTTCAGGTTTGGACTTCACGTCATCAAGGTTGCTGGACAGATGGGCTTGCTGTTTTTGGGCAACATTTCTACCTAACATTTAAAAATTAATTACAAGATTTGTATCGAAAATGTTAAGTATGTCCCCAAAATAATAAAAGAAAAGATAACGTTTAAGATTGGGGATAAAAATCAAGGGAGGCAAAAAAGTTTTTTTTTATGTGTTTAAAATACAAACTTTAAATTTAATTTTTTTTTGTTTTTTTTTTCTAAGACAAATCCGATATGGCGATAATTAATATACAATTTGTCTGGTTTGAGAATCAAAACTAATTTGATTGAAAGAGAAGAAAACTATTCTAATAAGTTAATAAGTGATCTGCTGATACAAAATATTCCAGTGTTTTAAAAAGTCTGTTGATTGCGGTTCGTCTAATGATTAGTTCTAGATAAACACAATATCTAGATATCTCGATATCTTGATCTGCATTGTAGAGGTAATGAACCAGGCCTTACCTCCACTGATGTGAAGAGAACACAAATGTCTGATGAGATCTCCAGCTACCATCACCTCGTGAACGCTGACGTTAACATCACAAACCACATCAAAAGTACCGTTTCCATCTGAATACAATTTTTGGTCCTTGCAGGGAATGTAGTCGTGATTGAGCAAGACTGTTTCGTCTCCCAGCAGGGGTTTGAACATGACGGTCAACTCACCAAGTTGGTCTGGTGTCGCAATTCAATAAAGAATAATGCACTTATTACATAATAATTAAAGTATTAACTTACATCCCATTTCTGTAATACTTTCTATGACTTTTCAATAGGTACCCACTTGTATATCATACAACGTTACGGCAAACCATGTTACTCTCTTCTCCGCATAAAAATATAACTTAGACTATAAAAAATGTTTTTCAAGCTTTTTTTTTAGATTTTATGTTACATACACAAGTGAAACAGTGATGAAGTCTGTTAAAAGTTCAATTTTTGATATGTGAGTAATTATTTTAAACCATAATTATAATGGTACCCATTAATACGTTTTAAAGTGTACCTTAGAGTCAGACAATATTTTATTAAATCTTTAATGGCATCATATTCTATAGCCTAACGTCCTATAATATATTTGATTTATTTGATATGTACTCGAAACTTATTAATTAAAAAACCCGTTGTTTTAAATGCGAAATTAAGACGAAAATATAATTTCGTTTGAAGCTTTGTTTGATAAAAGTCAAAAGTTTGACGCCATACTCTTTAGAACCTACGCCTGGTTATACCTCGTTATAAAAGTCTGAACACGCCGAAAAGGAATGTGACGTCAAGAATAGACAACACCACTTTATCTTATTTATTGAGATGGTGCTTTTAAATAATCTCTCTGAATTGCTCATTTTGTTTAATAAAAAAAAATCAAATAACAAAACGCAAAATAATTTGTAACTTCAAAACCTACTTTCTTTTTCCACTTTAAACCTTAGCCAAGTGAAAGCATAATTTTTGTTCCACTTGAGAAAAATTGTTGTCAGGTTACTGGCGCATGTCGCATCGTCGCCGTCCATAACGACATCTGCATTTATCATTGGTGCTGTTATAAGTTTACCCAGAACCGCCATATCCTCTGAAAAATACGTGAAAACGCGGGATAATAATGCAACTCTTATTCATAGATAATTCGTAAAGTTAACATATACATATGGACATACCATATATATAATAAATGGCAAAGTAGGCTACGTATGTATGTAACTCGTAAAGAGAATAACTAAAGATATACCGAACACAGAACAATCCTGGAGGAGTGACATGAGAAAAGGGAAACGAAAATAAACATGTGTTTCTTTTTTTATGCATATTTCCAGAGAGGCCTTGCCTATTTTTTTAATTATATACAAGCCTTATATGTATTCTATAAAAATAAGTAGCAAGAAAATCGCACACAAAAACTGTTCTAGCATGTATACGGTTTACGTTTTTTCTTCATTCAAATTAAACACAAACAAGATAATTATAGATATACATTCAGAGATCCGAAACATAAATCAAGTAGACAGCCTTATATATCTCGTATGTGTCTCAGTGTATCGGGGAGAAATATTCGAGACATCAAAGATAGAATCCACGTAGCCCGACAGGCACTTGCCAAATATTAGAACAGTTTGGGAGTAATACAACCTCTACTAAAAAACTAAAATATGAATGTTTAACTCCAACATGAAAGTAGTCCTGCTTTATGAATAGGAGACATGGAGAAAACAGACACATCAACAACAAAAAATTCCAGATTTTATAAACAGGCTATATTTAAAAAATGGCAAGACTTGGTAGAAAACAGGAAACTATGGGAAATGTGTGGACATTATATAGTACAAGGCAAAACTAGCGAGGAAATGGCGATGGATTGGGCACTCTCTTATGAAAGATGCTGGCAATAGAGCCATACAGGTCTTGGGATGAAACCTCCAGGGCAGGCGACACACATTTGAAGCAGAAATGATCGGAATGAATTTAGAACAGCTAAAAAAGTGGCTGGTGATTGTGGACAGCGGACACTTTTAACAAAGGCTCTATGCTTCACAAGGAATGAAACGAATTTTTTTTTCTAACCCCTTTTCTTCAAAATCTTTAATTTACTCTTACAATCAATCACATAAAATGTAACTTAGAGATTCAGATTTATCTGCATAACAGCGTTTACTGAGGTGGGGCTATGGGTGGGAAGGAAGGCAAGGATAAACGACATTGCAGCAACTCGGCAATAAGTTACCTATGCCTACTTTTAGGTACTTTGCTCTGGACAATGAAACAGTGGCAATGGTTTGTTAAATTCCCGAAAACTATTGACATTTCGTGTGAGGAAATCTACATCGTTGAATACAAAATAATTTAGTGAAATAATGCCTTATAATACGTAAAATAGCCACTTACCGTGTTGGCAGGCCTGACCAAACCATCCCTGCTCACACCTGGCCCCACCCACACACTCCCCAGAAGCGTCACACTGGTTGTTGACACAGTGACACATGTACTGACATTTGGGACCAAACCATCCTGTGTCACAGGTGTCAGTTGCTGAAACTGACAAATGTCAAATTCTCGTTAAGATTATTTAAACGTACGTTCAAAGAGTAATACAAATTTTAGAGATAAATGAAGCAGCATCGTAAATTTTTATTCGTAAAGTTTTACAGCGTATTCTGAAGATATGGTAGAAAGGTTGAGTGGATTACTGTTTACCCAAAAACTGCCGAGAGCACAGAAATAAGTGAACTCTACTTCAATTGCCCCGTAGACCGTCAGGTTTGAAAGGGAACTTTACTTTTACATATCTGTAGGACAGTCATGAGTCAACCCAGCCCTGAGTGGGCCCCTGAATCAAGATAAAGTAAGGGCGGCTGGGCATTGGGGGTCCTTATGTAAGGACTAGATTTTTATAACACATGCTATTAGAACAGACCTAATATGACTTTGTGATAAGCGTTTTGTGGTAGACAGAAGATAATAAAAAACAAAGAATATCTCAAACCGCCCTACGTGTAGCAATTATGAATTGTTACAAGACTATGAAACAGATCACGTTAACTAGCCTAACAAAAGCTCAATTAGGCTAGCGATGCTGCATTCAAATCTAATACAAAAACATGTTTAGGTTGGATGTGTTTAAAATTGTTTAATAAAAACAAAATATATTACATACAGGAGCATAATATTCAATTACAACTTCCATTACTTGAGGAGTAAAAATCCAGAATAAACTGGTTACATCCCCTGGTATTACAAACTCAGTGCCTTCAAAACCGTGGTTGATTATAATTTATCTTTAAAAAGGCATACCTGGCATGACTATACAAAACTTTGATTCAGATACAAATTGAAAACATCTTTCCTATTTTATAAATAGCTCTACTTTCATGAGCATGTTAGAGTTATAGTGCTGCTTGTGTGGGTACAATGGAAGGCGCAGGATTATACTTTTCTATATCACTTTGTATTATGCTTTTATGTGTAATCAGTCCACTTAACACTTTCAGATCTGACAAAGTAGGCTAGCCTGATGTAATTTACTCACTGGTCGTTTTTTTTTTATAATCGCAGTCAAATAAAAACATTTTTTTTTAAATTTTAGTGATATCTCACAAAAAATAAACATTGTCTGACATAAAGATGGCGGCTACATTTTTCACTGTTGAGCTTGTGCTTTTATCCGACTAAGGGACAACCGGATATTTTCTAATTTTCAAGGGGCGGGGGATTTCATACTTTGTGTAAACATTTCGGCGCAGATAGCGATGACAGCCGATCTTAGCAATACAGAAAGCTGTGGCAGTTTTTAAAAATTCCCTGGGGAACAATTCATATGTTTGTTACCTTTGTTTGGTAAATAAAGTAGCGTGTCAATTAAACAGCCGAACGATCATTTAATTTACATGAACAGAAGTGTGTCGGAAAATAAAATTTACTATGTATTTTGCCCTGTCGTCCTCCTCTTAATCCATCCTTGGATGACAGCTGGTATTTATACTTAAGTGTGCGCACGTTTTATATATTTTGAAAAAAAGAAAGCTTGTGATTCAAACATTAATTAAAACATTGTTTATTTTTTAGTCAAAACTAAAAGTTTCGTTGTGAAGTGAAATTTACAATTATTTGTAAAAGAAAATGTTCGTGCTTTTGAAAAATCTGGGGACCCTAGCTGCTGCCCTGTCAACCCTTCATTCCTCCCCTTTAATTTAATGAAATATGTTTTAATTAATTTTTTAAATAGTAATTATGTTAGAAGCATCATATATGTATTTTCAAGAGAAATTTATAAATATATGATTTTTTGTTAATGTCACGCCTGGTTTGAGGATTCGTAAATAATGGAGGCGTAAATGAACCAGCAAAGATCTAGGGCCACTTAACTTAAAAGGAACTGACGCCAGAGGCGTAGCGAGGGTGGGGGGCGGGGGGACATATGTCTCCGGGCGCCGACCTTAGGGGGCGCCAAAATAAGTCGGAAAAATAAATTGAAAGGTTGAGGGGGGTGCAAATTGAAATCTTGAGGGTGGGGGGGGGGGGGGGGGTGCAAATCGAAAGTTTGAAGAGGGGTGGGGTGCAAATCGAAATCTTCAGGGGGGGTGCAAATCGAAAAGTTTGTCCCCGGGCGCGGGGAAGGGTCACTACGCCTCTGACTGACGCCGTTTTAAAACATCGCGAGATAGTGAGTTAGATTAAGAATACAATATTGTGTAAGTGCTTTAAATAAGTGTAACCTACTTGACAAGGGTAGCAGCATAAGTAGAATGTGAATAGCTTGTGCCACACCCATCTCTTAGCCCGGCCTTAACATCAGAACAACATCTGCCAGTTATCTGTAGAGAAAATACAGATTTGATCTTACTTCATAGACAATAATTTTACAATATTGTTTGTTGCGTTTGTTAAACTTGTTTACAGAACATAATTTAAGAATTAGAAGTATATGTCTGTCAAATTATTTTATAGAAAAAATCATTTATAAGATGAAATGTCTGTTCAATATTTTCCTACGCAAAATATATTTTGTTGTTATAGTACACATTTATTTTATTTCATTACAACTACGTGCCGTGCACGTGTAAACAGCGAATGGCATTGGATAAGGGAAAGTAAATTAGGAATTGAAGGGGAGGGAGGAGGGGGGTATGTAAGGAAATAGCTAATTAGTGAAAGACTGGCACGTGGGGAGAGGGTCAGAAAAAACAGCTGCCTGGCAGTTTCAGTTTCGTGTGTTAAGTAGGACATCTGGTCTGTAGTGAAGTATTTGTAGCAGCAATGGTGTTACTTGGTCGGATGTCGTCTGGTGCGGCTCTTGGTGATGTCATCCCAGACCCAGGAAACAAAGTGTATATAAATATATATATATATATATATATATATATATATATATATATATATATGTGTGTGTGTGTGTGTGTGTGTGTGTGTGTGTCTGCCATCGTAGGCCTATGATTGTAATATATGCAACACACGCGTACATATAGGCCTATGCGTATAAGCTTTTATCACTGCACACTCAATAGTAACGATCTTTATCTATAGTCTGTTTATAATACACTTGGATGTAGCATCGTAATACAACAAAATTCTATTTTAGCCGAATAATAACTTTTATACAAATTAAACTTACAATATTTTCTTTAAATGTGCACTGAAGGCTATACAAAGTTAGATGTTTTAACTTTAAAATTAAAAAAATACGTAGACCTATTTATAATTATACGTGCAAATAAGAAAAAAAAATAGTTACTTAGATGTTAAGTGTTAAGATATTCCATGCACAAGTTCTGAAGTTTAAATGCAAAACTCACAAACTTATCAGGATGTATAAATTTTATATTGATAATATTCTTCCTGGTCGATTCACCAGTAACTTCCCTTTGATTTAAACAACATCGCGTTTATTAATATCCGTGTGACTAATTTAGAAAACGTGTGTAAATGCGAGTTTAAAAACCCAGACTTACACACGTTGAAGGAACAACGTCACTCGCACGACATTTTCACACTTCTGTTGACGGAAATCAATAAACACAAATGTAATAGAAGATGCAGATAGCAAGGTGTTAGCAAGATATGGAAACGAAAATTCACAAACCAGCCTGACTTAATTAACCTTGTTAAAAATTTTGCCTCGTCTTCGCATCCCACTTGATAACCCTCAACCCTAGCAAATTACTAAATGCACGTGGTGTCAAAAATCTTAACTGTAAGAACACTTGAGTTATTTTTTCGCTGTTTTAACAATAGATGTGACTGTACGCAAATACATCCAGGAAGTCTAGTATTTCTAATCGTAAAGTATTTCCGATATGAGTTATTTTTGGGCACACACTATGAAGTTTACATTGTTTATTTTCTACATTGTCTCCCATTTCATTTATGTCGAAATTTATGACTTTTCGGAATCTTTAACACCCCCCCCCCCCTCCCCCACTTGTAACATTATAAACAACCAATTAGTCGCCTTTTTCTTTAACTTTATGAAACATTTGAAACTCTGACGATAATATAGGAGTCTCATAAGGCGATAATATAGGAGTCTCATAAGGCGAGTAGCTTGCTGCTTGTTTGATAAAACGGAGCTAAGTGGCGTCTTGGGGTGTGAGAATGGGTTTGGCTCCCCACGATGTACATCATGTAAAATGGCGTCTTGGGGTGTGAGAATGGGTGTGGCACTCCAAGATGTATTTTTTTTCTTTCTCTCTCACTGATGCGTTTGTAAGATTTAAAACATGGCAATGCGAACTGAGTTGCCAATTAAGCTGTTACCCAACCAGACTTCGGCCTACCGAGAAACGTGAACAGCAGGCTGTAGATTGTGTAGGAATGTGTCAGATGTATTTGTCCATCAGCACGTTTGTCTGGGGAGAATTAAGTAGGAGACTGGACGTGCCTTAGGGTCCAGGATCTGAAGGGCACTTTAATTCTGGTTTAGTACAATAGAGATGATATTTTTCTACCAATCTTAGTAAGTTTGTCAATTGTTTGTTTAACTTATCTCTATTCGTATTGTACCAAATACTACGTTAATATGTATGAATTTTCTAAACAATTCTAACGTGTGCCATACCTGAAATCAATACAAAGCCTAGATAAAACCAGTATAAAAATAAAAAAAAATAATTGACCTACCTTCTTCAGAATCCAGACAAGCGAATTCTAAAGTATTTAAGTTTTATTATGTAAACTTAACAACGTCTAGTCGACATCTGGATGGCTATTGAGATCAGCTAGAACTGCTGACCTTCACCACAGCTAGAACTGTAGGCCTTCACCACAGCTAGAACTGCTGACCTTCACCACAGCTAGAACTGTAGACCTTCACCACAGCTAGAACTACCTTCACCACAGCTAGAACTGTAGACCTTCACCACAGCTAGAACTGTAGACCTTCACCACAGCTAGAACTGTAGACCTTCACAACAGCTAGAACTGAAGACCTTCACCACAGCTAGAACTGTAGACCTTCACCACAGCTAGAATATTAGACCTTCACCACAGCTAGAACTGTAGACCTTCACCACAGCTAGAATATTAGACCTTCACCACAGCTAGAACTGTAGACCTTCACCACAGCTAGAATATTAGACCTTCACCACAGCTAGAACTGTAGACCTTCACCACAGCTAGAACTACAGACCTTCATCACAGCTAGAACTGTAGACCTTCACCACAGCTAGAACTGTAGACCTTCACAACAGCTAGAACTGTAGACCTTCACCACAGCTAGAACTACAGACCTTCACCACAGCTAGAACTGTAGGCCTTCACCACAGCTAGAACTGTAGACCTTCACCACAGCTAGAACTGTAGACCTTCACCACAGCTAGAACTGTAGACCTTCACCACAGCTAGAACTGTAGACCTTCACCACAGCTAGAACTGCAGACCTTCACCACAGCTAGAACTGTAGACCTTCACCACAGCTAGAACTGTAGACCTTCACCACAGCTAGAACTGTAGACCTTCACCACAGCTAGAACTGTAGACCTTCACCACAGCTAGAACTGCAGACCTTCACCACAGCTAGAACTGCAGACCTTCACCACAGCTAGAACTGTAGACCTTCACCACAGCTAGAACTGAAGACCTTCACCACAACCTTCACCACAGCTAGAATATTAGACCTTCACCACAGCTAAAACTGTAGACCTTCACCACAGCTAGAACTAAAGACCTTCACCACGAATCAACTGGCTTGTGTCTCAGCTAGCAAACGTTAACACGAGCCGATATAAAGCGCGAGTTAAAAGTTGGCGTTCCTCGAAATACAATGTAAAAAATTTATATCGCTTTATCAACAACGAAGCGATGTGTAGATCTCGAAATAAAACAAGCTTTAGCGTGTTGCCGTCTGTGTGCTGAGATTGTAGCACACGTTCACAGCCATAGGCGATATACACAGCATATTGTTGTATGGACAACCCAATTTGACGGAAGTGTGCCACACATAGTGTTACCAGCCAAGGGGCAGTAATCAGAAGGTCATTTGATTGAGGGCCCTAGAACTGTCGTTATTTTGCGAGTGTGAACGATTCTAACAAGTATTTTTCCATGTCGTATGACCTCTGGGAGAACCGGGTTGTGGAGTTTTGACTTTCACGACGGCAATACACACAGGCTTTGAGCGATGATGTCGCAATGTGCTAACTAAGTCGCAGTCTGTGAAATATTTTACCTAATGAAGGTTTGGTCATTATTTTTACTTTCTCGTATATACGAAGTATAGAGAAAGTATTGTAATCGTGCACAAAAATCACTTGAAATTTTAACAATTTTCACCGTATTACACCTCAGTCCTTCATCACATCCGAAGTATAGAGGACTTATTTTAATCGGGCAAAAATTATCAATCCAGATTTATCAAAATTAAGAGGTTTTATGCGTAATCCAGTCTGAAAAACTGGGCTTTGCAATTCTGTCCGTATGTCTGTGTGTCTGTGTGTGTGTCTGTGTGTAAACACGATAACTTGAGTACTGTTACAGCTAGGTTGATGAAATTTCATATATAAGTATTTTATCAAAATCGTAGATCCGTATCAACTTTTGAGCGATTTCCGATAACCGGAAGTGGTACTCTTTTTACTTTGAATTTTTCAAAAGCCTATAACTTGAGTACTATTTCAGATAGATAAATGAAATTTCACATGTGAGTAAAAGATCTAATTCTCTACCTTCTGTTAAGTTCTGAGTAATTTCCGTTGACCGGAAGTAGTAATTTAAGCTACTTCCGATTTCTCAAAAAACTAATGTAAATTTTTAAAGTACTAATAATATTGCGCACTATTATGCACTTTTTTATTTGGCGTTCAATTGATGTGCAATTTTTTTGTCTATGAGATTTTATTCTATTTTTTAAAACTTTAAGTATTTAAAATGGATTAAAAATCATGTCTATAGCCCGGGTTCCTATTCCCTGTTGTTTTATAGAAGAATATTCGAGAAAGTTTAGGGGAGATCACTCCCGGTTTATTGTACTATCGATGCACGTTGCCGACTAGATATTTTGGGAATATAATAATGTTATATGTATGTTAATTATAGTCGTATAATTCTTGTAGGTAGTAATTTGTCAAACTGGCGTAAATAGAAGTTACTCTATCGAGTATTGTATTATCAAGATGATGAGGCTGCTAGCTTTGGTAAACCTCAGCACACGTTGTATTTTAAAGACAAGTCTTAGTGTGTTTCCTAAGAGTCATCGTACAATTAGTCATCGTCACGCCTACACCATCGTGTACTGAGTCTACCCTACAGCAGGCAATGTCTACATCAACCTGTCTAACGCTAACGCAGGCTACGCTTGGCTGCTTTGAATAGATCAAGTCACGCAACATTTGTTTCTGTCTCTCACGGTCAGCCCCATACAGTAGTACACCTGTACGGGTGACCGTCACTGAGGCAGTGTTAATGTGGCAAAACATTCCGTCCGGCCAGTTGTAGTTCCATGTAATAACCCTCCCCAACCCATCTATTACAATAATCCCCCCCCCCCCCCTCGCCAACACTCCCCAACTAATCTATTGCCACGTAGCTGAAAACATAGAAATAACCTAAGAGGAAATGTATCTAAGTTGTTGATGGTGTTTATTCTGAGAATTTAAGTCAACCTTGTTTTCAATAACTATAAGCCACTATGTTCCACACTAAACTAAGTACAAAGTAGCTATAAATAAATATTTTACTCATTGACTTCAAGCTCTACTTAACTGAGTACATGGTATCTAAAATAGACTATATATATATATATATATATATATATATATATATATATATATATATATATATATATATATATATATATATATTTATATATATATATATATATTTATCTATATATATATTATATATATACGTATATTATAATATATATATATATATATATATATATATATATATATATATATATATATATATATATATATATATACACATACATACATACATATGCATTTAAACTTAATGAACTTTATATGTTATATGGGGAAACACAATTGGGTTAATTTGAAATGCATGCGGGGGGGGGGGGGGGGGGGCTAGATGATAATACAGCTCTCCTTAATCTTAAGATAAAAATGACTGTGTCGTCATACATTCCCGTAGTTACACAACACATTTCTTCAGTATTGAGACCACTCCTAAAGCTAAGAATTGTGTCGTTGTAAGCAAGAAAGATAAGCACACAAAACTTACTCACCCAACCTGTAGCACCAGGGCCCGGATTGAGCCAGGCACGTCTAGCAGTCTGGGTTAGCCGGTGTGCATGTGTTACGCCTACACTGGTGTGTACTGAGTCGAACTTTAGTTTTTAGGTGGGCGGTTGGAATAACAAACGTTGTAGACAAGTGTTAATGTGATATCCAAGAGTGTGATTAATTAGGTTTAAAATAAACTCACTTCTATATACATACTCTGATATAATATTTAGTAAGCGATTTAAGTTTTTATATATACAATTAATAAATGTAATATAGTATATATATATATATATATATATATATATATATATATATATATATATATATATATATATATATATATATATATATATATATATATATATATATATATATATATATATATATATATATATACCTGCATGTGTATAAGTTATGATTATACTACAAGATATGAACATGCGGATACATTAAATACTCACCATAAAAAAAATCATGACACGTCTACAGTGTTAACATTCACCTCTCCCGAGTTAACTCAGGTAAGAAGATTACTCAAGTAAGAAGATTACTCACGTAGCCAGGTGAGTGTGTGTGCACTACGTATAAATACTTGGAATTGTTTAAAACTGCAGAAACGATCTAAATGTGTTGATCTTGTGTCACGTTAACCGAGAACACATTTTCAGCCTAATATCCTAGCATTTAATGTCTATCTATCGAACTATCCTAGCATTCAATGTCTATCTATAGAATTACACTAGCATTCAATGTCTAGCTATGGAATTATCCTAGCATTCAATGTCTAGCTATCGAATTATTCTAGAATTTAATGTCTAGCTATTGAATTATCCTAGCATTCAATGTCTAGCTATCGAATTATTCTAGAATTTAATGTCTAGCTATTGAATTACCCTAGCATTCAATGTCTAGCTATCGAATTATTCTAGCATTCAATGTCTAGCTATTGAATTATCCTAGCATTCAATGTCTAGCTAACGAATTATCCTAGCATTCAAAGTCTAGCTATTGAATTATCCTAGCATTCAATGTCTATCTATAGAATTATCTTAGCATTCAATAATCTAAAGAAATCAAAACGTCCCCACATTAAATCACGTACTACAAAACATCCATGTAGCTTACATTGATATTCATGTTATCATTCCATTATAAACTTTCAATTCGATTTTCTAAAACTACTTTCTTACCATGAACGTAGAGCTAGCTGTAGCTTTATCTTTTATCTAGAAACCGTGCCGATTACACGAAGGAATTGGATTGACTCATAGTTGTGCATGGGTGTGTCTAACAGGCATTTTCCCGCGTCAAATTTGACTTTATGAAAATTTTGACTGTAAGAAAATCACGACGCCCCACGTTTTTGATCGCTTATAGTAGAGTGATCGCTTGCATTATTGTGATGTATAACATTTATTTTCTACTTTTTAGTTCAATCAGAAAACGTGGGTTTTTTAAAACTTTTTTAATGATTATTATTTATTTTTTGCTTGTTTGCGATTTGAAGAAATGAATACAGAGATTGTGTTGGCAAGGCACGTAACTGTAGCGTGTTTTGTTAAAGTATTTTACAGCAGTAGGTTCCCTTTAATTTCAGATGAGACTAACATTTACGTTGGCAACTTAAATTAAGCCTTCTAACGCAATTAAAAGAGGAAATTAACTTTACTTTGAATTATAACAAAGATTGTGGTTATATGAACTATCTTAACCAAGACTTTACTTTCTAAAACTTCATTTAAATTAGTGTTATTTTATATTTAATTCACTAAGCCTATATACTATTTTGATAGTATTTTCATTTATTTTTTTTTTTTAGATTAGACCTATTTTAATTGATCCGATTGACTGCAGTATACTTCCTGAAATTGCTAGATTTCGGTTATGGAAGTTTATTTGTAGTAACTTTACTAGACACCAACATACTAAATTCACCAAAATCATTACTCGTACTGTATCGCTTTCCGTAATAATAAGTAGCAGTACAGTGATTTCAATTAGTTGCCAACAACAAAATCACTCAATTTAATCTTAACTCAGGAGTTCACCATTTTGTTTTTATTGTCCAAACATACTGACCTTATAAACTACGACTCTAACCATTACAAACAACATTTCTATTGTTATAAAACTCAGCCCTCAAGGCTACGCTAGTTTAATAATATATTTTGGCTAATAAATTGATGTGTTATATGACTTTAATAGCATGTGTATTAAACAATAAGCAGAAATTGACCACATACGGAGACAAGTTTCATTTAACAAAGTAAAATTGACGAGGTTTAATAAGCTCATAACACATCTCAAATTTACAAGGAAAGTTCTCTTATCTAGGATTGTCAAAATAAATAAAATCCTTTCTAACTGCAAACGTTTAAAAAGTAATCTTCAATTTAGCTTTAAAAAAATGTAAATTACTTTCTTTATTTTTCTTCAACACTTGACCTAATAAATTATCAAATGTACGTTTCCATTTTCAAACATCAATTCTCTAACTATACATACATACTTTTACTTCGTTACAACATTATTTTGTTTAGACCTCAGCGAAACCAACACTAGTTATTGCAGTGGTCTGTCTATAAATTTGTTAGCCTCTAGACAAAATAAAAAATAAATATATTTTTAAAAATTCAGTGTATGTGTGTTTCATACATTTTTGTCAGTAAACGTGCAATTCCACAGACCTAAATAACGTTGACCTGTGTACATATCGGATTCTTCCTGCTGGTGATGTTGAATATAGAAACAAGCCTAGTGAATATTTTGTTACTTCCTTCTTTAATGCCAGGAACGGCACATCAGGTATGTGGTTGACAAAAATCAGCCCCACGTTGATTGTAGAATGTAAAATAGCGACTCAAAGTTAAAGTTTCTGTTGCAGTTCTTAGCAGTTTGTATGTTAAAGGAATCTGAACTTGAGACGTTATTTTTTAAAACTAAACTTGAAACACCCCTAAACACTTGAATACAATAAAATAAAATCATTTATCTTATGGAAATAATCCTTACTTTACTATATAAAGTCATATGGTTTCTATATTTTAAACGTGTTGTCCACTGTCCAAGTACTCCACCTGTCCCCAATTTAAATAAATGTTACCTTATGCTTTTACAACGTGTGCTGGCTTGCAATAGCAATATGGCCTTAAATTCGGGTCTTCTATACAATCAGCTTGGTGCAAGTAGAGATTCAGTCTAGTGACGTCATCAGACACCACCGTTGAGTTAGTTGCCAGAAAATCAACAACGCCTTCGTAAACGGCGTGGTTGGGCTGGGTCGTTAACGTTATCTGGTACCTCCTTGTTTGGGAAGAGTTGCCAGAAATTTCTGCTGTAGTTATGACACGGTCGAGTGTTAAGTTTACGCATCTCTGTCTCAAATTATTTGGTATGAAGCTGTTGACTTTGTCGACTAGTGCTTGGCTTAATGTGTGACCCAACGTCTGGCTTAACTTGGCCTCTGTGAAACCCATACAGGCGCAGTACTCCACAGGAATCTGCGCATGCTCACACGTGCGTCCTTCTGGAATCTCTTTGAACAAGCTAAACCTGGGCTGGGTGAGACTTCCTTTCCCGGTCTCTGCTTTAAAGTACAGCAGGTCAATCAAAGTCTCGTAGACGTCCGTGTGGGTCGTCAGACGCTCTTGGTTGGTTTTCACAACTTCCATCAGCTGTGGGTATTTGGTGTGGAACCAGGGCGGGAACACCAGGAACATGTAAGGTGTCCTAGCCTCAATCATCCCATGAAATGTTGACCTACGTATGACATTATGTTTTAGCTCTTGATACAATCTACACAGATTTATTGTTAAAGTTCTGAATGTAATCATAACAGATGTATTTTATACTACTTTTAAGTCATTTTCTTATTGATGTATTGATATTGTCGCTTTGTGTTGTTTCTGATTAATATTTAGCGGATATCTTGCTTGGTTTGTATATTTGTTTTTCTATAGTTTGTCAAAACTACCTTCAAGTTAAGCTAGTAGGATTTATAAAGTTCGTTGTTTAAGATTTTGTAAAGTTGTTGTTTTATAAAGGTCAGTTTGTAATCTCCCAGTGCATTGCTTTGAGACATAGCTTAATATTACACTGAAAATAGCCTAAGATTTAGCATTTGACTCTAGGTAAATTTAAAACAAACTGTTAGGCGATGTTATATAACCAAAAACCAAATTGTCAGAGTTTGATAAAACTAGAGGCTCATTGCATTAAAATGTTTACAGTATATTTACCTCATTGGTCCAAATCTCGGACCGTGGTCACTGAAAAACACAAGGACGGTGTTATGTAGAAGGTTCCGGTCCACCAACTTTGTCAAGAATCTGTAGTACAGTACATCACCTGCACTGGCCTTATTGACGTTATTGTGTGTTAAATGAGCAGAGAAGCTAAAAGGAAAATTGTATTTGTGCTTTTTATCTAATGCGTAAATTAAAAAATAAAGCGAAAGATTGTCCCTAAATTGTGTCTATTTTTAATAGAATAAAATCAAATCGAAAAAAATAGCGCAATAATGTGTGTATGATTAATTATAATTGGGTAATTTTTAAAGTCTACTAAACACCTGTTTAAGTCGCATTTCATGTCGTGATGTATTGTCTTAGAGTGTTAACCTTCATGATAAGTTCAAAAGAAATAGGTCTTATTGAAATGGTTGAATTTCGCTCTCAAGTTTCCGTCCGTGACTGACGATAGATCGAAATAATTAACGTCTCACAGTTTTTTTTTTGTTTGTTTTTTTTGAAAACTCGGGCTACAATATTTTATACCTTTGCGTGTAGCTTCTTTCACCTAAATCAAACATTATTCCTGTTATCATAATTTTAGAAACTAAAATAGAATAAAGTACCACTTCTGGAAGTCGGAGGTAACTCAAAAATGGAAAATAACAAGATCAAATAATTCAATTTAAAATTTCGTTTATCTAAGTTTACATTAGTTATACTTCTCCCACGGCAATAGATTAAATCAACACTACCGATTACAGAAAACCATTCAAAATTTGCGATGAACTTGCGCATTGAATTTAGTACACATATCTGAAAATGCTTCCACCAAACCTAATAACTCAGGTTATTGGCTTTTGATAGCCGGAAGTACGGTTGGTAAAGCTTCCGAATACCGGAAATGTTTCTAAAGTTTACACAAAAGTCAAACTTGTTATGACTCATTTATGAAATTTCTTCAAGTTAAATTAAACGATACAATATTTATCATTATCATTTATTATTACAAAAATAAGTGTTTCCTACCCAGGGAAGGGTAAAATGTTGAGATTTATTGAAATCTCGAATTTTGATTTCTGCACGATTTTAATACTTCTTCTATAGGCCCTAATTTGTATAATATTATTTTACTGAATGTATTTCTGAATTTGTTTTGCTACAAGGAAAAATATTTGAAATATTTCATGTACATTAATAAAACAACATTTTTCTTCATTTCTTTGGCACGTTTACCTTAATTGAAAAAGCCTATATTTACCAACCTGTAAGCAAAGTAAGGCGCTGCCTTAGAATTGTTGAACAAAGTCGCAAACTTCACCCAGTAGTCGGTCAGTAGAGTGATGTCTGGGACGTCACCTACACAACTTCCGTTTCGCATCATGTCGTCATCAAAATCAACCACCGCCTCCCGGAGGTAGTAATCCACCGGCTGTTTCGTCCAACCACGTTTGAGGTAATGGAATGCCGTGATGTTCAATAGGTCTAAAAACATGGCCGTTCTGTACCCCGCATTGCGGTAGGAACTCCACAAAAAGAAATCATTGATGTGGTCGAACGACATGAGCCTGTTCCACTTCAACTTGGCTAGAGAAGAATGTTTTTTCCCAGTGAGAAGTCCAACAACATTAGGGTACGTGTTGTCTCCAATTTTGTTGTGTTTGTGTAGCTCTACAGCGTTCATGGTATCTAGCAGAACATTTCTTGTCTTCGGCATGGAGCGTATCATGCTGTTTCTAGACATGCCATCAACACCTACCATCATGACGCTTAGAGTCTCTTTTGGGGCGTGTTGGTTAACGTGCGACTCATACTTGATCTTTAATTTAACCTCTAGCTGTGGTTTTCGTCGTATGAATGTTAAGAACGACTTGGATATGACGATGTCGGAGGTGTTGTAGCACTTGACGAGAACGTAATCTTCAGTCACGTTGATGGAGTTATTAAAAAACGGACTGACTTTCACTGTGATTAATTTTCTATCGTAATCATGTGCCGGGTCTCGAACCCGAACCTCGTACTGACAGTGTTTGAATGTTGACCTGAGCCATGGTATTCCTTCTATTTTCGTGTGATTGACGAAAATTGTGTCGCGTTTAGTGAAGACAAGATGTGGTTTCTGCTTGGAGCAATTGATGGTGGGGAATGTTTTGGTCATGTTTTCCAAAGCTTTATCAAAAGGGTCGACGACAGGGAATGGACAAGCTGATGATACTCGGTCAGTGACATGATGCGCAGATGATAGTCTGTTCCCAGTTATATGGTCAGCGCTGTATAGACTTATTTTATAATGCTGCATATTCTTGTTGAATGTTATATATAGACTTACAAGAGTAGTTATTAAAACCCAACAAAAAAGAAGACCACAGATGTATGTTATCTTTCTCGTACCTGTAGGTAAAATATTTATTTAAGATGGACACATTATAAAGAGAATTATCTGCAACATAAATAAATAAGTTTTTATCATAATACAACGGATTAAAGTATCAATTAACTGCAAATAAGTAGATATTATCTCGAATTAATGGAGTACAGGGTCATTTTATTTTTCAATGTATTAAATCCCAATGTAAAATTTCAGAAGGCACACAGTGAAATGCTCTTTATAGTTATATAGGTAATAAACGTTTTTTACAGATAGTTTTTAGAAAAAAGCACCATTTTGTGTTTAGGAATGTTTCTAGCTAGTTCTACACAGATGGTAGTGATTACCAGAGACAACAAACTTGTGCACTAACAGGACGCGTCTGACACAGATTTGCTAGCTAGTATGTGTATCCTCTTCCTTGTTGAACCTTTGATATTGTTTTATGTTTACGCTACTCTGATTCAAATTTGATCGTCTCTACGTTTTCTCGTTGTCGGCGTTCACAAAACGGCACGACAGGTCTTGATCCTTTCTTGCTATTTATTTTTGTAATTATATAAGCTGTTTGTGTATATAAATTTGTTTAGTAATTCTTAGAAGTAAACTCTGTGGTAGCGAACAGGCAATGACCAACAGGACAATACATGAAGGCTAAAACATCTCTTTTACATTTCGGCACAAGTGGCGATCAGAAATTGGTAAGTAGGTAATATTTGTTTGTAATTATAAATAAGAAAATAACTTTTAATTTAAATTGTTTCACTATTTTGTAGAATTGGAATTCAGCGTGCAGCAAAAATGTAAAACAGATTGTAATCATACATCAAATATAAGCTTTAATTAAGGAGAAGTCAACTTTAAAGTTTGTAATTTAATATAGCTGGTGATTTATTCCCAAGCACAACATATTTATTTATACGTCTACCAGCCTATTTCTCAGCTACCTGTTGGGGTTTCATATTTGATATTAAATCGAAGTCTGTCGAGTTTCTGTTCGGATAATTACAGTCAGTAAAACTATTATTTATAGCCTAGTTTATGTCTTATTACAGCTGAGGTATGCTGAAAATAAAACTATACAGTCTAATATCTGAAATCTTACAGTTTATTTAAATTCTTAGGCTACTTTAAAAGCTTACCGAAAAAAACAACCTTATCTAATTTTAATTAACCAACATACTCACTATCATTAATAATGTAATTAAGAAAAAAAATTATCCTACCCATGATGACAATTCATTGTCTTAAACACGGACAGCCCATACACACTGTTTAGGATGGAAAACCCCAAACAATTAATTGTGTGTAGAGATTAACTTCCACGCATTACTGAATGTTAAATATATTTTCTTTTAACTTCAGAGATTCAAAGCTTCACGAGTCATTCAACAGGATAAACAGAGGTTATAAATTCTCCGGCTGGAGATTATACATATAGGGATTACTTAAACACGCTCATAGGGACACAGCACACCAACACACGCAGAACAAAGATATTTTCTGTCTTCATCATCGAGATAGAGTTTAATTATTTATGGGTATCAAATTATACAAAGTGTTTGTTTATTATTTATAATTATAAGGACGAATTCGCAAGCATTAAAAATTTGTCAAATTTAATGATTGTTTGGTTTTGGCTATTTTCTTTTTCTTAAAAGACTTCTAAATTTGAAATCTGTACTTATTAATTTCGCAAAAAACAATTATTTATGAATTAGGGCTTTATAGATTCAAGGATTTAAAAATCGACCAACTCTTAAACCAATTCACCTGACTCTTTTTTTTTACCGGAATAGGACATTAGGCCGACAGGAACAGGACATAAGGTTGACAAGAACAGGACATCCGGCCAACGAAAGAGGACATTAGGCCGACAGGAACAGGACATAAGGTTGACAAGAACAGGACATCCGGCCAACGAAAGAGGACATTAGGCCGACAGGAACAGGACATAAGGTTGACAAGAACAGGACATCCGGCCAACGAAAGAGGACATTAGGCCAACAGGGACAGGACATTAGGCCGACAGGAACAGGACATCCGGCCAACGAAAGAGGACATTAGGCCGACAGGAACAGGACATAAGATTGACAAGAACAGGACATCCGGCCAACGAAAGAGGACATTAGGCCAACAGGAACAGGACATAAGGTTGACAAGAACAGGACATCCGGCCAACTTCTTCTTCTTCTTCTTCTTCGTTCTTAATTATTAGTGTTTAAGGGGATAGAGCCTTATCTGCCAGTGGGTTTGAACTCGAGACTTTGTTCGAATTTATCAACCATGAGCTTTTTTTTTTGCCGACTCGACCACGCCTCCAACACAATTAAGCGTTACGTGTCAACTGGTTATGCGCCATTGAGGCCATTGACTCCGATTTCAGCCTGCTTTTCTTTTTGGATTTGCTTCCATAGCCTTTGTCCAACCAAGAACAAACTACAAGGCAGCAGTTGTTTAATTTTGGAGTTGTCTCTCCTAGAAGAGTGGCTGTCCCCAGCTAACGAGCCTCATCTGCCCGAGGGTTCGAACTCGAGACTTTTCTGTTTATCAACCATGAGCTTTACCGACTCGACCACGCCGAACCCTAGAGGACATTAGGCCGACAGGAACAGGACATAAGGTTGACAAGAACAGGACATCCGGCCAACGGAAGAGGACATGAGGTTGACAGGAACAGGACAGTAGGCCGAGAAGACATTTGGCAGGAACAGATATCACAGAGTTCACATTCGATTTTCAAAAAATAGAATATCAGCTAACATATAATATATTGAAAATTATTACGATACAAACCTATTGAACCATTTAATCCTTGAAGAAACATATCGACATTTTTCATATCCAAAGCCGTTCTTTATGTTAAATAGATGTTTTGATATTTGCGGGACAAACTTATGCATTACAAAACTCCGAAATCAAATAAGAATAGAGCCCCTTAGGTGGCTTTATGCGATAGGACTTTAAACTATGGCTTCCTTTTGACAGCTGTTGCTACACTGCTGATTCCAAGCTGTTCAGCTTGCGCCCCCCCCCCCCCCTGTAAGTCGATTAGCTGTGTAAAGAGAGAGGTCTGATATATGGTCAGCCTATGGCCCCTCTCATCTTATCGCCCAGGTCTTGTGCTTGGATATACAATGAGTAATCATCCAATGGCCGATACAAAAATGAAACCTAATATTCAAACTAATTTTAATAAAGCTAATAATGCGAGTTTTCGGTTAAATTATGGCCTGTGGAATTATTGAGCAAAATAGTCTGCTTAACCTTATGACATGTATTTTTATTCGTGTAGCATGGTTATCGGCTATATTTAATACGACTTTATTACACACTGAGTCAATACAAATAAATCGATCAGTGCAAGGTACTTAAATAGATGAGCAATTATACAGATTTTGTGTAAGCCAACTGTTCGTCGATACACAACACAAATAAGCACAGGATTATACCCAACATTGTTGAGTCACTTGGGGGATACACTAGTCTCTGCGTAGCTACTGGTTATTAGAGTATACCCGAGCAACGTTTTACAACAATATTACAGACATAAATTATGTAAACACAATCGGGCTTATAAATAGAACCGAAGTAAATATGGGATTAAAGAAAAATAATATTATAATCATTAAAAGCAGCCTGAAAGATATGTTGAGTACAATGAGACACATAAAAGCAAACATTCTTCCCTTTCAAACAGCTATATCTATGCCAGACCTCCTACAGTTTTTTTATATTAAGCTTGACGGATCTGCTAATTCGAGAATATTAAGAATCTATTTACTGATAAAACAGAAACTCGACAAAGTTTTTTTTGGTCAAAGAAAAAGAAGCCAAGTAAAAAAATATATAGCTAATAACACAAATTAGTAAAAAACTCAATGAATAATTTAATTTTGTTTTAAATTGAACTGTTCAGGCCTTAAATATTTCATATAAATCTTTGTTTCTAAGAAAAGAAATAGGTTGAGTTTTAATATAATTTATTGAAAATTTAGAATAATTGAAATTTTCAGTTAAGAGTGGCCTACCTTCAAAATTCTTACGGAGGCTAAATTAAAAACGTAGAGCCATGAATCTTCGGAAGGCTGGGTTAATTTCATATTCGGCTTCGGTTGCTGTAACTATAAGTTTTTTTTATGTCGGATGAGTAGTTAGCCAATCGCACAACTCCAAAATGAAAACCAGTACACACTGATTTATCTGGCTACTACCTGTGTAGACCTGTTCAGGATGGTTAACCAGAAGCACAAGGTTCCCGCAGGTGCACTTTGAGGGGATGGGGGGGGGGGGGTGGTAAGCCATCACACCACAAGGCAGTTGGCCATTTGGATGGATTTGATGCGTACTGTGATTAATAATTATAGATTCCTCATTGTATAATTCTCGGTGATAAACTTATCTAAAATATTTTATCTGCATTTCATCTTTGCAAGCCTATATCAAATAACCTTTTAAAGCTATAACATGACTTTCACAAAGGCATGTTCAAAAATAGAGTCTAGATATTTGGAAAAAACTAGATCTATCAGATTTTTTTTCTAATTTTTAACATCTTCGATACCATGAGCTATATAGTCGATAACGGGAAAAAATCCGCACGGTGAAATATTTTTCCGTCTAGCCTTACTTTGCGAGACCTTTGGTTAATATAAAAAAAAATTGATAATCAAAGGAGCAACAAAACCACAATGTAGCTACATTTAAAAGTCTCTACTGTTGTTGTATTGATCAGTTAAAACAACAGCGAACAGGGGAGGGAATTAACGTGTGCAGTTTGTTGGGGAGAGTAAGGTGAGGGAAGCTGAGAGTAATAGACGGGGTGGGAATGGGTGGGGGTGGATGTTAGACTGTGAGGGTGGATGTTAGAGGTGTGAGGGTGGATGTTAGAGGTGTGAGGGTGGATGTTAGAGGTGTGAGGGTGGATGTTA